CAAAAAGAGAAAATAAAATTACCAAATTAGCATCAAATGTTTGTTTCTAATAAGATTAACCTCAATCTAATTACCTCGCAGTTGGAGTTTATATAAACACTTGAAAATTGTTTGTATCATAAAAGAGGTAATTTCCTCACACTTGATATGCTAATGGATTTCAATAAACTTAAAGACATTACTGTTTATGCACCTAATAATTCATTAAGAATCTAGAACAGGTTGTAATGATCATTTAATCTTTGAAATTATATGATTATATTAAAATAATCTTTAATTAAATGATATATCAGTTTTTAAATATTCTCGAATAGCAAACGATCGAAACTGTATAATGACTTAATTAATGACATAATGGTATCTTAAGATTCTTACAGGGATTCCACTGATGTTTTTTGTCATTACTGGATTGTAAATGATTTCTTCGGATCAACTTGTGTGCACAATTTCAGATCATTCATTCTAATTATGAAAATGACTTAAAATGACAAAAATACAATTTATTTCTTAGCACATTTGGTCTTATTATTATTTTTTTGCATATATTTTTGTTTTATGTGCCCCAGTTGATCTATGTAAGAAAATTAAATGTTTTTTTCAGACTTTTGGTTTCTTAAATTTCCATACTGTAGGTCAATATTATGCATTTTATGAACGGCTTTTTTATCTGATATTTTATGCACGAAAGATATTTATCATATAATTTTGTAAGTGAAGTTGATGAAATTCAGATTAAAATTGTCATTTCATACCAAAGTAAGTTTGGTTTCTGTTAAATGTAAGAATCATAATGCTGTAATATTGTATAAATGATCATTACAAATCGGCTTTATTTAACTATCAATGTGACATTTTGTATTTTTACATGTATGATTTTATTAGTTACAGCTACCGCTAAATATGCTGCAAATATGTAAATATACAAATTACACAAAGATAAATAAGAAAATATCACCAAAATATGTAAAGACAAAAAGAATACAGATTTAGCATTATTTGTTTTAATGTATATCCCAATAACATTTAATATCAATCAATGGTGATAACAAATAGCTTCCAGTACAAATTTTGATGAACCTATAAAATGTTGAATTGAAAATTATTATCTTTAATCTATTAAATTCCTTACACCATGGCCCAAGGTTGTAAGTAAATTGCCTGGTGATTAGAATTGAATACATCGTAACAGGTGGTTCCACGTGATTCGAGATTTTATTGAGTTATAAAAATGTTAATCAAATGTATTTTAAAGATAAGCAAAGACAAGTTATATCTATTCCTTTTATATCTATCTTTATAATTAATATAATAAAAGCTATTTTGATCTCTTCTGAAATTACTTGATAAAATACGTCAAAAACTGAGTCCACACCTTTAAGCTGTTAATGTTGCAAGTGTCTATTGGTATCTATTAATAAATAAATGGATTTAGAACACATGCAGCTTCATGTAAAACTATAAGCCTTCATTCAAAGACATATTCAAGGAAAGTCATTCAAAATATTCAAAGTACGGATCGTTTTCATTTTTACTTATAGCTGTCTTGTGTGGCATAATTTTGATAAACAACTTACCTGATTACTTAACCATTTAATACACTACAGGCATTTAAGAAGTATAACAAAGTAGATCATAGGTACGCTTTCTATATTTAAATGATATCTTGTTTTCATCTTTTCTGATCATACTATTAGCTAGGTAAGCCTTCTGTACCCGTATGATGCAGTATTATTTTCCTTCATCCACCGAGCAAACAAAATGGACAAAAATGAGTCGCAAAAGATAAGCAACTGTTATCTAACTTTTGTTATGCAAATTTTATGCCTCTTTTGGTTGTAAATAAAAAGTTGTCAATTGCATAATGTTGTTAAGTTGGCTACTGTTAATATTATATAAGTATGTAAATTGGATGAGACAGAAATAAACTGTTCAACTAAATATCCTTATTGAAATGTTCAAGGATGTGAAATTACAAAAAAAATATTTTGAAAAATTGAGCATACAAACCTGATATTTAAGATTTTAGGTGAAACATTATTGAAGCTTTTAATAAATATTTTTTGTTTTAAATCTAATTGTTCACGACAATTTAAAGAAAAACAGTTATTTTGAAAATAGTATTAATATCTTTTAGGTTGTTATAAATTATTTAGCGATATTATCTAGTATGTGTTTGAATGTTAACATGTCATCGTCTGTCTCTACCGACGAAATCATACATTGTATTTCTTTCAATTTAGTAAACATTATACACCTCTTGATTGATTTTTCAAAATCAATGTACCGAATAAAAAGTTTGATAATATTAATGATCAAATGCATTTAACTCTAACTGTAAAAGGTAAAGGTAAAGGTCGTGTTTATTATAGTGTCACCCCTACTGAAAGGGCCAGCCATTTTGACTTATGAGACACCTTTTGGTTGCATACCATGTACCTCCCAATTCCTACCACTATGCCAGGCGCCAGGCGGATAGAAATCGGTAACCATTCATTTTAACTACCTCGCGGCTCACGAAGCGGCCATTTCGGAACGAGTCCCACGAGAAACATTCATCTTTCAATTAACGCTCCCCGTGGGGCTCGAACCTTCGACCTCCCGATCCGAAGGCGGACGCCTTAACCACTAGGCCAACGGTACTGTATGTATGCTTTAAAGGTTCAATCAACCCCAAAAATACTTTCATTTTCATTTTAACCTTTTATTTTTGTTGTCCAGAACAAAGTACCAACAAATCATATAGACAAAACTCTCGTTTGCCCTTTACAATTAGTACAGTTATAGTGTTTCAATAATTTACATGGTAGTCACAGAATTACGTATTTACATTGTGCTATTAATGTGCTACCTTTATGACAATTTATTTCACATTCAACGCTACCCTGTTCCCCAGTATGGTTAAAATCCATTATCAATATATTATCAACATGTACTAAACGTTCTGACAAAACGTAAAACCTAACATATTGTGTTTAAGTAGCGATATCTAACCTATCAGTTAAAATGCACACTGATCACTTTAAAGAGATATTAAACAAATCAGTTAAAAATAACGGAACGCTCGCAGCTTTACTAACTTATTATTCTGAACTGTAAGCAATTCCTCTCAACTTTCTCAATACATTTTCATTTATAACAATGTCAGATGTATCATATTATATGCAGTTTTATAAAAAAAATCACTATTGTACCGTTTACAAAACTACTGGCATACACAAACACACAATATAACGCTCACGACACATCACCTGAGAACAACAAAGTAATCGAGAAACATAAAACTTGACAAATTTCTATATATAAAATAAAAATAATAGATTGTAATATTCAATATGAACCATTAACAACAAGGTTTATAAAAAGACATTATTCATGTTAAACTTGGCGTCTTAATGGATTTTCTGTCATTATTGAAAAACGAAAGCATGTTTATAAAAGGGAAATCGAAAGCACGGTTCGAGTTCAAATGCGCAAGGGCCGATAGGAATGAGTAATATGAACGATAAGCATTAATTTTTATACTGCAACGCAAGAAAAATTAAGATTATAAAAAATAAGGCAATAAAGGTTATAAAAAGGGAATTGATGAAATATTCTGAACAACATTGACCGTACGTGGAAGTAATTTTCCTAACTTCATTGGTTTTTTGGCGTCATATCCGGCGTGTAAACATTCCTTTTTTATGGCTTGCATATATCGTTTTATAATGCACTCGACAGTCTTTTCTGTTTGAATGGGGAATAATGTGAAGGGTGTCATGATTATATTTTTCTAGCATATCATATCAAAATGTAATGTAGAACCTGAAAAGTATTTTCTTTTTATAACATGTCACATGATAATGTTATTTGGGAACTGATAACCGTTTTATTATATATAGACAACTTTCTATTAATTGAAAGGTTTTTTATTAGATTATATCAACACTAAGTATAATTTGTCTCAATTTCCAGATTATATTGCCCTTATGAATGACAGTTAAAACCTTCAAATATGTAAAATTGACATATCAGTTTATCATGTAGTTACTGTTACTTTTTATATTTTTTTTATATCACTATTATAATCTACATAAACTAGGGGATACTTTTTGCTATGCCCCAAAGACGTCATATACATTTTGTGCCTATTTTAATGAAATAAAGTGTGCAGTTGTACAAGATATAACGCACCTATTAAAAGGCGTGTATGATTATTGTACCTTCGCTCGTCATTTTATAATATTACATTAAAATACTTACTTCAATACTAAAACCCTTTCAAAGACATGACTCAAGTCAGGTCACATGTTGAAATATAATAAATAAAATTTATTCCTTCGAATACATGATAACTTCTGTAGCCCTTAGTTTAACGTTACAACTATCATAAATGTCGGCTTTAAAGGAAATGATGTGAGTTTTTCCATTGCAATCAGTTTCAATTTAAAATTGGTTTGACCAGGCAGCATACTACATCTCAATGAGCGAAAATAGTCAAGTAAAAAATGACATACACTCATTACTAGTATTGTAAAACTGGGGGTAAAAACCCGGCACATGCATTTTCAGTGCATCCTAAAATCCGTGTTTTCCTTCAAAGCCAAACAGGAAATAAAATATTTCACGGAAATATAATCAGAAAGAGAAAATGAACAAATACCTATTCATTTTATTATCAAAGGGAAACCGTTTAATTATGTAAGATACATCATTTAACTGAAAATGAAACATGAGCGGTGTAATGAAACGAAATATATTTGGTTAATCAAAGTGTAATATTGTTTGTTGTTTTTTTAATTCGAACTAAATAGCCTGTTCACCATAATGATTATAATGATTATTAATGCAAGTCGTTATTCACTTATAGTCACTTGAATTACCTAGTAAGCTAGTGCAAGATTGTCAGGCAATGCTGGTACCTCGAAAGGAATACAAAATATTCCATAAATATGAATGCTCTTCAACAAGGTATAAAACAGATCATCAACATTTTATTGTCACAAAAATTTAAAAGTTACCTGTATAACATTCGATCAGCTCCTCATCCCGTATCGCCAAAGTATCCTTTGTTTTATTATATTTAGCTTGTAAATCCGTATGGTTTACTTGTAACGCCGCTAATTTCAACTGTGTTTCTCTAAGCCTATGTTTTACCGTTTCTAGTTCTTCTTTCAAGTTACTTTCTGAACGTACAACATCATACAACTGATTTTCAATTTTTCTTAATTTTGTTTCAGTAATATTAAGTTGCTCGTTAGCATAATCCAGTCTTTCACTTTTGTCTTTGTACTTGTTTTTCAAAATTCTTGTTTCACGTTCTAAAACGGCAGCATTTGTTTCAAGACCAACTAGTTTAGAATTAGATTCAAATGACTGCCTCTGTGCAGCCTTCAGTAAATCAGATGTTTCATTTAGTTTGTTTCTTGCTTCTAATAGATCGGCTGTTCTTTGACTAAGAGATGTTCTCATTGTATTAAACTGATTTTGCAACTGGAGGAGAAGTATGTTTCCTGAACCCTCCTGGTTTGGACGACGTTTTGATTCAATGATAGTCTCACGATGAGATGACGACTCTACATAAACCTGATTATTAGGGTACTCTACAGGTTGCGACGAAATTGCATTCCGGAGTACTTTCTGTATAGAACTTTCAAGCTCTTTGATTCTATTTTCATGGTCAGATTTAACAACATCAAAATCCTTTTGCATTTGTGTCATCTTTCCATCAGCTGGCAACCTAATTTCTTGTGGTTGTAGATAAGTGTTAAATACCCCCAAGTTGTTTTTTGTTGGCGATGTGCATGATTCTGCCACATTGAGGTTAACGTTATATGTACATTTCCCATTTTGTAGTTGACATTGAGTATCAGAAGATTCAATCACTATTCCAAGAATGCAAATCGCTGCAAGCGCTTTATATGATACTTTGGACATTTGTGGTTGCATAATAGAACTAAAATTAAATAATCCATTCACGTTGGAAATAGATATTTTCTCTTTTCTAATAACATATTTTTTCTTTGCAACTATGTCAGATCAATCTTGTAGCACGACAAGAATTGGTTACTCCTATTTCATTCCCCCTAACGTAAATTCCGTCATGCATTTCCGTGGTGCAATAAGGAAAGCATATGTTCACAATTTATCCGCCTAGAGCTGTAAATCCCTAGGTGTTTATCGCCAACAACTACTAGCTGTGGTATATAAACATTTAACGAATAAATGTAATCGGTTTTATTATTTACCCAATTCTAATGTGAAGTAATTTATCTTTAAGCACGCTTCGGTGATTTGTTTATTAAAATTGTGAACTGAAAGAAAAAAATGACCTTATCCTGTGAAACTGCACAATGCATGCCGTGATAGATTTATCTACTTTTTGTCGATTAAATGATATGTCATGTTTGTAAATTATACTTTCAAGCAAATACGCAAGATAAGAAACGAGGACATAGTTGATGATTTTCTCATTTATTTACATTTTTATATCTTACATCATTTGCCACTTATTTTGTGGCAAAATGTCATTTGAAAATAAAATAGTGCATATTAATTGAAAAAGTAATCTTAAGCTATTTCTGCCGCAGGATTTTCTGTTTATATTATAAATTCTACTTATTACACATTTAATAACCTGAATTTGCATTATGATACAATATATTTTTACTTTCTTGGTACATAGGGTGGAAGGGGATTTTAAATCGTTAACGAGCATTTGTGTATTTATATAGATGTGTGAAGGCCGCTAGGCCGCCAACTTCACGCCGCTAGGCCGCTGGGCCGCCAACTTCACACATCTTATTTATATCAATATACATAATACCGAAAACCAACCTATGTTGATCAGATTTGATGGTGCTAAAATTCAGAGAATCATATTGTTATGGGTACAGATTAACTTCGACATTGTCTCACATGTGATAAATATCAGGACTTATCCTTTTCGGCAAACATTTTATAGACAACGGAGCGGGGTTGTAATAACTACGGTCTTGTTTGTATTGTCTCTAACGAACATTACTCTTAATGTATATACATGTACTTGTTACATATTTTCACAAAAGAGAAAATCCCCTTTTTTTAAAATTTGGGGAAATTTTTTTTAAAAATTTTTTTTTTTAAAAAAAGGGGAATTTTAAGATTTTTTTGAGTTTTTTTTTTTGGGGTTTTTTTAACTTTTAAAAGTGAATCATTTTTTAAAATTCCCTTAAAAATTTTTTTTAAAAAAACCCTTTTTTTTAAAAAATTTTTCCCCAAAAAATTTTCCCCAAAATTTTTTTTTAAAAAATTCAAATTTTAAAAAAACACAAAAAAAAAATAATTTGGGGGGGAAAAAAAAAATTTTTATATAATTTTTTTAAAATTTTTAAAAAAAATAAAATTTTCTTTTTTGGAAATGGGGAAAAAGGGGGAAAAATTAAAAAAATTTTTTTTAAAAATTTTTCCCCCCTTAAAAAAAACAATTGGTAAAAAAAAAATTATTTTTTTAAAAAAAAACATTTTTTTCAAAAAAAATTTATAATAATTTATTTTTTTTTCAAATTTTTTTAATTTTTAAAAATTACGAATTTTTCCCTTAAAAATTTCAAAAAATTTTTTCTTAAAATAAAAAAAATCCCCCTGGTTTTTTTAAAAAACCCTTACGGGGTTTTAAATTTTACAAAAATTTAAAAAAAAATTAAAAGTAACTTTTTTAAAATAAAAAAAAATTTTAATTAAAAAATTAAAAAATTTTACTTTTCCTTTCCAATATTTTTTATTAATAAAATTTTTTTTAAAAAAAGGGTTTCAAAAAATTTAAATTTTTTTTAAAAAAACCCAAAAATTTTTTTTTTTTAAAAACCAAAAAAATTTTTAAAATTTCTTTTACTTTTTTTTTTAAAAATAAAAGAAAAAAATTTTTTTTCAAAAATTTTTATTTTATCCCCAAAAATGAATTTAAAACCAAAGGTAAATTTTTTTCCAAAAATTTTCCTTTTAAATTTTTTTTTTAAAAAAAAAAAATTTTTTTAAAATTTTTTAAATTTTTTAAAATTTAAAATTATAAAAAAATTTTTAAAATTTTTTCCCTTTTTTAAAAAATTTTTTTCCTTTTTTTGAAAAAAAAATAAAAATTTATTTTTTTTTTTTTTAAAATTTAAAAATTTTTTAAAAAAAAATTTTTAAAAAAAAATTGGGGGGAAAAAAATTAAAAGGGGAAAAAAAAAAAAAAAAATTTTTTTTAAAAATTAATTCCAAAAACCAATTTTTTAAATTCTTTTTTAAATTTAATTTAAATTAAAAAATTTTTTTTAAAAAAATTTTTTCATTTTTTTTTTTTAAAAAAAAATTTTTTTTTTGAATTTTTTATTTTTAAAAATTTGAGGGTTTTTTTCCCCTTTTGGGTTTTTTTAATTTTTTTTTTAAAAATTTTTAAAAAATTTGAAATTTTTTTCGGTTTTTTTTTTTTTGGGTTTTTAAAAAAAACCCAAAAAAAACCCCCAAAAAAACCCAAAAAAAAATTTAAAAAATTAAAAAAAAAAATTTTTTTATTTTAAAATTTTTAAAAACCTTTTTAAAAATTTTTTACTGTTTTTTTAATTTTTTTTTTTACTTTTTTTTTAAAAGTTTTTGCGGGGGTTTTTAAATATAAAAAAATTCTTTTTTTTTTAAAAAAATAACCAAATTTAAAAAATTTTTAAAATTTGAAAAATTTTTTTTTAAGGGACCCAAAGAAAAAATGGTTTTTTTTTTTTTAAAAATTTTTTTTTTGGGGGGGGGGGGGGATTGAAAAACCATTTTTTATTTAATTCCCCAAAAGAAAATATTTTTTAAATTGCCCGGTCTTTATTAAATTTTTTTAATTGTTAAATTAAATTTTTACCTTCCCCTTTTTAAATTTAAATTTAAAATGGTTTTAAAAAACTTTATTAAATTTATTTATTGGTCCAATGAAATAAATCTTTTAAATTTAATTTAAAGATAAAATGAATTCACTTTGGATTGATAAAACCTATGAGCTGGCTTCACTTTCATAATGCTTTTTATTATGAAGTTATGGTTCATAATCTATTGCGAGTTTAAACTATTTAATTGTTTTGTTACATATATTATATAAAATATTATTCATGCTATCTACTTGTCCTATTTTATTGAAAAAAATGTTTTTAACATTGTCCTATGACCAAGAGTAAACGGATATAACCCGTGCCGCTCGGAGAGAGTGAAAAAGTAATTTTAACTCGGTTATATGTCTTCATCAGTATACTGAACAGACAACTGCTATCATTGATAAAAAATAAATATCAGGCGTATTTACTGATTATATGAATGTCAAAACTATCCAATGAAAATCGATGTAACAAACGAGCAGCATAACCATGAATGACATACACATATTACTTAACACCCCATTCATTACGCTTACAATTGAAATTTATAAAAAATATATGGGACAAATTTACATATCAGTAAATTATGTCACGTCATTAAATTAGATTATCGTTAATATCTTTGTTACTTGAGGATATAACCGAAAACATTTCAAATAAGATTAAAGGCAGATATACTGAGGAAATGCAAATATACAAATATAAGGATGGTGGTGACCTATATACGTTTATATTATATATTTAAATGAAATTAGCTCATAATATGTTACTCGTTATTGGTGAAAATGTCAAGCATTTAAAGCATGCATTATTGGGAAAATTAAGTATGGCATAGTCATATTCGAAAAATCCAATATACATTTTTAGATTAGAAATGTATCAAATTAAGCTTGAACTGTTTAAAAATCGGTAACAAACGTAATTTTTTAAAGCTGTAATTTAAGTGAAGTCTACATAACCTGTTTCCTAAACAAAATTGTGAATTGTGTGGTTGGAAATAATATAATAGAAAACAGCATGCTTTGCTTGAACATTAATTTGTTCTTTAATTCCTATACCCGTATTGTTTTAACTTTGTCTCTAAATGTTATCATTTATAAAGAAAGGAAATAATTGTGACATACAAAATCATACAAAATTGCAAAGACACCTACCTGAGTAACATTCTATGAGTTCTACATCCCGGATCTTCAGTGTCGTCCTAGTTCTTTTATATTTGGCATGTAATTCTGTGTGGTTCTTTTGTAAACTCTCAAGTTTTTCCTCAGTTTTCTTCAACTTAATTTTCAGCGTTTCCAATTCTTCTTTTAAATTGTTTTCCGAACGTACAACGTCATACAACTGATTTTCAATATTTCTCAGTTTCGTTTCGGTAATGTTTAATTGCTCATTAGCATATTCTAATCGTTCACTTTTGTCCTTAAATTTATTTTTTAAGATTCTGTTTTCTCGTTCTAAAACGGCAGAATTTGTCTCCAGATCAACCAGCTTTGAGTTTGATTCAAATGACTGTCTCTGTGCAGCTGTCAGCAAATCAGATGTTTCATTAAGTTTATTTTCTTGTTTCTAATAGATCAGCTGTTCTTTGACTAAGAGATGTTCTCTTATTGCATTGAAACTGATTTTGCAATTGTAGGAGAAGGATATTCCCCGAACCTTCCTGGTTTGGTTGTTTGGTTTCTATCAGGTTTCCATGACGAGAAGTGGATTCAACTTGAACATGGTTATTCGAATACTTAACAGGCTGCAATGGAATTGCATTCCTGAGTACTTTCTGTATAGAACTTTCGAGCTCTTTGATTCTATTTTCATGATCGGATTTCACAACGTTAAAATCTTTTTGCATTTTTGTCATCTTTTCATCGGCAGGTAGTCGGATTTCTTGAGGTTTGAAGAAAGAATTAGTTTCCTCAAATGTCGTCTGCCTCGATGGAGCGCATGCCTCTGCATGGTTAAGGTAAATGTCATAGGTACACTTGCCATGTTTGAACTGACAGCTTACTTCCGAAGAAGAAGGTTCCCCCGCGATTCCCACCGCAAAACCTAACACAAACACTAGAGACACTTTAAACCGTATACGATGCATGTTAAATTTGTAACAAAATCACCAAATTATGCCGGGTGAAGTTGAAACTCCTTCATTTGTAAGGACATGTTATCAAATTACCAAGCTTACTAAGAAAAAAACATCATTTCATCATTTTATAAATCGCATCCTGGTAACGAATTCCTCCTCAAAATAAATTCCGCTAAACTTTGCTGTAATGAAAAAGTAAAGCATATGTTTATGAAAATGCAATATTGCAAACTATAATAAACATTGTTACCGACTGTAGTATATGAATGTAAATAAGGGCGTATTTTAACTTTTTAGGGTTTTGTTTTTTTTAAAAAAAAAACGCTCGGTGATTAGTTTTAAAAAAAACTTTACGATTTAATTCCAATCTACAGTAAATATATCCAGTATTGCAGTTTTGGAAAAAAATAAACAAAAAATTCACAGATTGTTAAATTTTTACATAATTTCATGAAAACGGTTTTGTTTTTAAAAATTTTCGCAGATTAATGTTTTGATGTCGTGAGGTAACATTTTTTTTATATTTGTTTTTTAAAATTGTTTTTCACTATCCCCCAAAAAAAGAATTGGAAAAACATATGTTTAAATTTTATGTCATAAAATAATGAATACATTTTATGTAAAACTTAAATGTCATTTGAAAAGAATTTTTTTTCGTAAAAAAAGCTTTCATTTTTTTAAATAAAAACATGTGGAAGAGACAATTTCATAAATTTATATCAAAATATGTTTTAAAATATATATAAATAGCAATATTACAAATATATATATTTTAAAACATATTTTGATATAAATTTATGAAATGTGTCTCTTCACACATGTTATTATTTCAAACATGCAAGCATTTTTACGTATTTATGTATTTGTAAATTTAGTTAAAGCTATTTTTATCACAGCCCAGAAGTTAAGGTCAGCAATTTAAGCTGGTTCTGGTATCAAGTTTATTTGTATTTTTATGTGTAGTTCCTGTCTTTCATAGAACCAAGAAAAGGTGTTGTCTAATTATCAAAAGGTATATTGTTAAGAAAATTCCTGCGTCGAATTAACTGAAGTTTATTTTCATATTGTAAAGTAATGTTAATTAATATTCTACGTAAATACTTGATTGATAATAAATTGATCTTTTATTCATCTTTTTAGTTAATCTTTTTTAAGATTACATGCTATTGCAGGACTATCGCCTGTATTGTATTTCCTAAAGCAATGTGCTCCTCGCCATAAATGTGGGATGCTACCAGTAATGACACTGTCATACTGACAAAGTTAATAACCGTTAAATTAGTAAACAGAATGTTAAATATTTGACTACAAATACATACTTAGTTTGTCGCATTGGCTGTTGACTAGCAAGAAAAAAATAAATTTTTCTTAAATTTGTGCACACAAGTCATATTGTCACTTTCGCATAAATTGATAATATTTTAATTTTGTTTTCAAGTTTGTTGTGATAAATGTGTGATGAAACTAATTTAATTTAATTTAATAACAGTTTTTGGTCATCAACGAAAGCTGGAAAAGAAACAGTTCGTTAGAGCAATAAATATGCATCTGTATGATTCTATAAAATCAACAATTTATTTGAACTATTCAAGTCAAAATTTCAAAAGCTCAAAATAAAAAAAATATGTATGTATTCGAATGACAACAAAGCGCAACTTAGACAATATTAATTTATCAAACTTGAATGGGGCAGACACTGGCACAAGAACGCACTGACAAGAATTTCTATTTGATTTGTTTTTTTATTCTACAATATGAACGTATAGATGCAATGTCAAGTATAAAATATATTCCTAATCTTTATATAACCTTATAACACTCTCCTTGATCGTTAAAGCCTTCATATATATTATAAATCTTATAAATGTTAAGATATTATCATTAAGTTGAAAGTTTATTACTTGAATAAAGAATAACATGTTTGAGTTCGTGAGACAAAATGGAAGATGACATACAGTTCGCAAAGCATTTAAGGACATGGTATCTTCTTTTTATCTTTCAATATGTTTTATTATTTAAGGACTAAAAGAAGACAGCTTATACCAGAGCGTTTCTATACCGTACCAGGTATGCCAAACTGTTCAACATATGAAAGTCAGACCCTTACAAACCATACCTTATATGTAATTTTTGTTTTGAAACAAGATAATTTATAACAATTTACATACCTGATATTTGTTAGTCCCAAGAAATTTCTCATTAAATTGATATGTTATTATTCCTTTAAACGTGTTTATATTCTTCGTCATTGGGTCGAAATATTAAACTATCAGAATTTTTATTGTCATTTTACTCCAAAATGTAAAATATTTTATGTTTTCCAAGAAAACAACTCTACTCGCATTTTAAATAATAATTTAAGTTACAACCGGCCAATGGAACATTATTTCTGTACTATTTATAAATATGTCACGGAATCCCCGGGGCTGTAATCTTATTGTAACGTTTCTCAAGGTAAGGTTTGTTTACCATTTATGTACAAAGACCAAAATTAAATAAAATTGGTTTCTATAATCATAAATGATTAACAATTATTGCATGTTCACTTACTTTTGACTATTACTAGTATTATAGTTAGTCTTTATAAAATTCAAATTTATGTTCATGATTACATGTTTGTTGCTTTTCGTTCACATGTTATTAATTGATACTTATAAAAAATTGTATTTAATACTGACAATTAAAAACAAGGCAGTTTGTATTGCATTGTATGACGAATTCAATTCCATTCCTATTTTCTGTGCTATTAGGTTTTGCTTTGTATACAATTTTGAAATATAAAAAAGTATAAAAAATGTAATTCCTTACTTTTTGTCCCTTAATTACATAATACTAATGATTTGAAAAAAAACAAACAATGAAAACCACATCTATGGATTTGATATAAATTGAGTATTCCACATAACACAAAGCAAACGAACCATTTCTAGTAAAAAGAATATTGTTTACATATTTTGTTGCCAAGAAATGAAATTATATAAGATGATAACAAAATGATATATCAATTACGTTTATTTTGTACGAACAACATGCTTCCCAGGTAAAAGAAAACAGTGTTTCTTTAACGCAAATAAACTATTAAAGTTATATTGCAAATTATATTTGTATTATCTGCACTTAGTTTAAGTGTTATTGTATTTTCTGAATAGAGCTGATAATTCCAGGCATATTTTTGTAACTCTTAAAATAAAGTTACTTTTTGTCACTGATAAAACTTAATAGAAAGCTTAGAGAGTGATTTTAGAAGGAATGTTAGAGATAGGACAATCTTAAAATGCCTTTATCACAATTATTTTATTAACAAATTGCAATATGTTCATGAATTTCAAATTATAGAACAATCTTGCCACAGAGTTAAGATGCTAATTCCTGGTTTGATCTATTAATAGCATTATTCACTTGTGTTATTTGCTTGTATCTAGCTTATAAGTACCTTTTCAGTTGACTTAAATTAAATGTCTAACTTTTTAAGACCATAATTATGTTCGGCGATAAGCCATTGAAGCAAAGTAAATTCGAGTTTTATTTTAAGATTATCAATTAGAAAACACTGTTTATCTTTTCTAGCATCTGAAATAGATGAATACTTATAACCGACTTTTACCGTGAATTTATTTACCATAATGTTACTTGAAATGATGTATAAGTGAAACCAATTTTCATGTAGAGAACATATATTTGAATTCAGAAACATATTATAAGTATCCATTTAGCCACTTTAAATTCCATCATCGCAAGTTATTTCAGACCATAACTGAAAAATAAGGTTACCGTAACAAAATGAAGATTGAGAAAAGACAACTGTTCTTTTTTACGTCTGTTGCTTGAAGATATACAGGCATTCATTTCTATATTTTTGCCTCATTTAATCTTTGGGAGAAAAGGTGAGGCATTGTTTTCATCACTGTTTTTTGGTGAAAAGTATATTTATTATAACGCCTGAATTCATACAAGAATTTCTTTACTGTATAGAAAAAAATCATCTTTAGATGTACAGAAAGAATGTTTCATTGTAAAAAATATTTAGTTAATCTTTTTACAAGTTACTCATATTCTGCACTCACTTATTATATATTATTATCATATGATAATCTACCTATCAAATTATTAGAATTCTCACAAAGTTAGACAATATTAGCAAATAGCGGGAAACAAAAATGGTGCAATAGCACCAAACATATGCACTGAGGAAAGTTGTTATGAGTTTTGGAAAAAAAAATTGGTTCTTGATTGACTTACAAAGCACTATGTACACTGACTATGGTTATTAGCATAGCAGTGTTCACAATAAAGTAAAGAATACTGAATGCCGATAGACCCCAAAACGGCAAAATTTAAAATGTTGTCGGGTCGGTTGATTGAGCTTGTTGTTGGACGGTAGTGGTGATTGTAAGCTATCGTCTATACCCTAGCATCAGCTATAAGCAAATTTCAACATTATATATATTTAATTAAGAACATTCTCAGATGTGTACAATACGGTGATGATCAATGTGACACGTGCGTGTCATCCTATGACAAGTGGCGCACAGTTTTCTGTTAAGTAAATGCATAAGCGAAAAGAACAACAACAACTAAACAATGAGCGAATCTAAATTGAATTCAATATTGAAAAGCAGTTTGAGGATGTTAGCATATCACATATAGCTGTCAAAGTACAATTTATGAAAAAAGGCAAGATATCCCAAATGTGATCATACATTATTCAAGTTTTGGAACCACCAACTAGATAAAGATCAAATATAATCAAATAGAAAATAGCACACGGCACAAACAACACTGCTGTGACATTAAGTAATAGAAACGGAGTATCAAAAGAACGCCCCCAAAAAGGCATAATTGAATATTTTGCAGGTAATTGTGTTTGCAAGCTACACTCTACGACCCCCGTACCGGCTTGAGCAGAATTCAACTTTTACAGGTATGCATGTTAAATGTGAACATTTGAAGGTAGAGCATCCCATGATGTGTTTATACGTTGGGGATTTTGGAACAATAGGTAAATAATAAAACTGCAAGAAGTGAAGAAACTGTGTAACTGTGTTAAAACGAAGCAGTTAAAATGTTCCATTTTTTAAATAGTAGCCTATGTTTTATTTTGCGTTATTTTTTCAGCAGTATTTTCCTTCAGTTAAAAACACGTGTCTTTTTGTTTCCAAACTAAACACTTTTGAAAGTAATCTATAT